ATATTTACATTGATTTTCAACTTGGGTTGTATTGCTTTTGCTTTAATGCAGTTTGTGATTGGTCTATGAAGGAAACTTGGGCCTCTCTCCCAACCAAGGAGATGCAAAACGTAAAAAAGTCTGACTCAATAATGAACATTTCTCCTTCTTGTGGCTGTTGACGTTGAGTCACCAATCCTCCCTTGTGACATCATTTTCCGGCCATGTTACACCTGTATTAGGTGGTCAGCCACGAAGAATGGCTGAATGTCCACAATGTTCCACAATTTGTCTTTGTACCACCTACGAGTGTAATCAGCCATTTTAGCTTTTTTTTGTCGTGATTGTCTACAGATTACCAGGACTCAATGTTCAAAGCCATTGAAGCTTTGTCCAAACGCTTCGATTCTTTGGGCAAAAATGTGGAAAGAAAACTGGATTTAGTAAACGTGAATGTCATGAACATGGCTGAATGTCCACAATGTGCAACAATTTTTCTTTGCACCATCTATGTGTGTAATCAGCCATTTTAGCTTTTTTTTTGTCGCGATTGTGTACAGATAACCAGGACTCAATGTTCAAAGCTGTTGAAGCTTTGTCCAAACGCTTCGATTCCCTGGGCAAAAATATGGAAAGAAAACTGGATTTAGTAAACGTGAATGTTATGAACATGTCTGGAAGGACGAGTGGTTTGGAAAGGAAAGGTATGCATATTTACATTGATTTTCAACTTGGGATGTATAGCTTTTGCTTTAATGCGGTTTGTGATTGGTCTATGAAGGAAACTTGGGCCTCTCTTTTAACCAAGGAGATGCAAAACGAAAAACAAGTCTGACCCAATGATGAACATTCCTCCTACTTGTGGCTGTTGACGTTGAGTCACCAATCCTCCCTTATGACATCATTTTCTATACAGTCAAACCTGTATTAGGTTGTCACCCACGAAGAATGGCTGGGGATGACCACGTAAGACAGGTTCCACGGAAAAGAGGTCATATAAAAACGATGTGAAACGCCAATTTGAAGCGCAAAAATGTTACCAATATGCAAGTGGAAAGTACGCATCTAACGCATGTTCAAGGAAGTAGTGTAACACAATCCGATCGCATCTAACCTTTGCTTGCGAATGACTTGGTGATCTTTGGCTTCATTTCTTCGAATGTACCCCCCACAAACCTTCTATCAACACAAGTGGGGAACCTCCCGAGAAATTCAGTATTGTTGCCTAAAAGTAGACTTTGAAAAGTGAGAAATAAAAGATTTATTTGACAGTTCGATTTAATTTCATTTAAATATAATTGCGAGTCAAAATCTCAGTTCTTGGAAAATCCCAGATATCTTTTCCTTACATAGATAACCTTCATTACCACTTTGCAAATTATGTGAAAATTACAATCACGCAGGGCAGTGTAACTTGGAAATGATACTTGGAAACAGCAGTAATCTCATTGTGAAATTCATTTTGATTCCATAAGAATCGAAATTTGTTTGAAAATTCACACCATGAATTAATATGTTTTATGTCCCACACATTTATTATTGAAAGATCTTTGTTTATGTCTTTTAATTTCTTCAGGAAGACTGGCACTAATTAACAAAACAATCGAGGCGTGGTACACAAGTCCTCACTCGTTTAACAAAAGTGTCGTAAGGAAACTGGATGTCGTGATTAAGTCAATCGAAGAGCTCTCTTTGCAATTTAAGAACACGTCTGAAACGATAAAGGCATTGGCTATGCAAGGTATGTATCTTTAAAATAATTTTCACTTATGTGTTGTAAGCAATGTAGGATTGCTTGATTTTGCTTTACCTTCCTATGGAAACTCGCATCACCCTAGCTAGCCTATCAAGTATTATGATGTAAAAATGATCATGGTACAATAAGAAATGAGAAACTTAACAAACTTTCTCAAGAGATTTATTACTTTATTAATCTATTCTCTTGACATTTTTCTATTCATGCGTCTATTTATTTACATGTATCTATCTATCTATCAGTCAGGAAAATTTTTCCTCTGTTTTTTGAATATTAACTGCTGGCGCGACGAATAACTTAGTAAGTTGTACAGCGCTCATAACCAATTGTTTGTGTATCGTCAAAATTTTTTCTGCTTCTTTCAGCGGCCACTTGGGTTGTGATACTAAGCTTTTCACGCTTGAAATCAGAAATTTTGTTTGTGGTGTTATGGGTAATTGTTGTTGTAAATGTAAGCTTCTAGAAATCTCTAGATACTAACATGCGTACCATAGAACTTTCTAGAACGTTTCATCAAGTCACGGAGTTATTATGTAGTACTACTAAAATAGTTCTTTTGTGAGCTTCTGGAATATTCCAGAACATTTTATGAACGTAACTATATTTAGTAGTAGAGTTAGTTGTTGTTGTTGTTGGAGTGATGACCCTTTAGAAAGCTATATCGAGAGAGAGCTATATTGAGAGAGAGCTACAGTAGGAGATTGTTAATTTGAAGAAACGTTGGAGAAAACCGTGAGTTTGGGTCAGTGGTGGCCTAAGATACAGACTGTAGTGGGCTTAATTAAGTTTATTAACGATAAGTATTGTACTGTCTTTAGGAGATACTCTTTACTCTTTGTATAATAAAGAAGTTGAGTTTGTAGGATTGCAGTGTTTTTCTGTTGGTTAGATTATACCGTAACAGTGGGGTTGCATATTATGCTCATACCAAAAAAACAACAACATTTCTTAGAAAGCTGTTGTTGTAATCAGAGACTCGCTCGACCATCGGTTTGAAAAAGTTAGAAGGTGATAGTTCTCCTGAAAATATTA